TGTATAAGAAAAACGATTCTGAGCGGAGACGGTATGTCAGTCTAGGTATAAGACATATTATATACTTATCTATGATATTAAAAAAAAAAATTGTACCTATAATAAATTCTAAATTAATCATATCACAATATTCATTAGGTACTTATAAAACGTTACACATCAACAAAAAACCCTGATACTATCATAGATATATAATAGTGTACTTTAGAAATTTCAAGTACCCACGAATAATATTATACAATCCCAACAAAATAACTAAAATAGTTATTCTAGGTTTCTTAATATGTAATTTCATCCAAATTTTAACTTGAAATTACTATAAAAATAAATTGTGCTTCTGTATTTTTTAGATTTTTTGGTAACAGAATAAACTACTTACGTGGAATCTTGTTTTAAATTTTCAATCCTTAGGTATAAAAGTTGAAAATGTTATCCATTTTTAACTACAAAATAATTATTCAATTTTAAATTTGATATATTTTGTCAAAAATCGATCTTTAAATGCTTAAAAAAAAAAAATTGTGCCTATGTATTTTTAATATTTTTCAACTGCTATTGTAACTATATATGAGGAGCCTTGTATTACATTTTTACACTTTTTGACTCAACATATAAAACTTTATTGATATTCATAGAAAAAAAAAATAAGTTGAAATATGAAATTGTCCGTAAAAAGCCTCAAAATAAGTCAAAATATTTGGAAAATGTTATGGTATTTAGAAAATGCTTATACAAACATTCAGTCAACATTTAATGTACCTACAGTAATTTGTTTAAGAGTTACACCAAAAACCAAAACCAAAATTTTTTCGAAAACAGATTTTGTGTAAAAATTCCCGTTTTTCCTTAATTTTTCTTTTGTTTTTCACGGAGCTCTTGAAAACTACTTTGAAATTTTTACTTTTGACCCCCCCAATGTACCAACTAGATTTATTTTCCTTTCAGAAAAAATCCTGTTGAAGAAAATCTAAGCATTTTTACTGTCCTAAAACGTGATGACAGACAAAAAAATAAAAATAAATAAATAAAAAAAACACACATCATTATAAAATCAATACATTCATCGTTTCACTCAGAATCTAAAACCTATGAGTTCATGATTCATTACGAGGTTGAATATAAGATATATAATATATTCAATACGTTAATGATAAAATTACTAAATAAACTATTTAAATTACTGTAAAAATATAATAATAATTTATATTTACCTAGGTAGGTATAACAAGCACCTAATTCATATTTTTCATATTTATAATGCACGAGATTAAAATACCTTATTCATTTCACCTATTCTGCGAACCAACAAAAAATGTTATGGCACCTAAAATGTATTTTTGGTTTTATTTTATACACAAAAATAAGATTTACGAGCAAAATAATAACATGAATTCTCGTACCGACTACACGTATTTCCAACCATCAAAGTACAAAATATGTTGAGGTTTTCAAACTTTACAATGTTTTACTTTGATACGAAACTTTTACTTCCTCTTGGGAAAATTTTTCATCTCTCTATATTCGCATGTCGCTCACTCACTCACCGTAACAGCCTACACGAGATATCTATATAAAAACGTTTTTGATTTCTTTTTATTCTACTTTTCAATCAGTTTTTTTTCCAAATTGTTTATTATACATACACAGACTACATCTTATATTATTATATGTTGTACCAGACTACGTCATGTATATTTATTTTTCATTTTTCATCGTATTTTGTCAGATACACCTGACTCGAAAAGATGAATACACCGAACTCCAAAGCAAAATTCATAATTTTGAGTGTGAGTAAATTCGCCCCATAAAACAAAGAGTTTTAGGCATTTAACTCACTTTGAGGGTATTTTTTCACTCAGTTAAATAAAAATAATAGTATAACACACACACACACACACACGATTTATGTTTACAGTAAATTTAACAGTAAATTTAAGTAATAGTTATAATATGTATAACGTGTATACCAGGTATACTAGCTATACGTATTGCAATAATGATTCGAAACCATTATTACATAACAATATATACGATGTAAAATAAACAAATAACACAAAATATATATTATTTTACGTATTATATTTTACACAATGCACAAACATCAAATGTTTTTAATTTTGATTAAAACTGTAGGAAATTGATAAATTAATTTTTTTTCAAAGCTCCATTACCAAACTGTGTTTACTATCTCATACCGAGCATCCGTTTCAATTAAATTACTTTTGATACAACATGACGCATAAACAATTACAATTATACTCGTTCGCGTGAGTAAAACGCACTACCTATATTATTATTCATTGCAAACTAATTTCAAGAAATTAATAACAAATACGCAAAAAATCATAAATGAATATGGGCGCGCTTGTGTGTGAGTGGGTGTATCTATTAAGTTTAAAAAAATCAATTTTTTTCTAATAAAAATGTCGACTCGCAAATATTTTTGAATTCTAAAAGCAAGTACGCACAAAATATATAAATACAAAAGAAAACCGATTAGCATAAGTCAATAAAGAAAACTAATAACAGTTAGATTACTATATTATTAATTTTCTACCCTTGCCTTTAGCAATGTGATGCCGATGATTCTTATGCTTCTTTTACTGTTTTCCTTTTTAGCGGCACAGTCGATGCTTCCGATCACCTTGCATCGATATCATCCCTCATCCCTGCTACCCCACGAGGGGGGGGGACCATTATTTTTTTTTACGTTTCTCCACACTCCACCACGTATACGATCACAATCACCCCATACAAAGAATGCCCAACAACCTAAATGTTTAGTTATTTTAGTTTTTCCGCCACCTAATGAATTTACTTAAATATAATTCAATATTATACACTGTGTGTTCAAGAACTCATACTTTGAATTTCCTCTTATACACTTCCTCACTAATAAATCTATACTGTTAGTTTTGAACTGCGTACACCTCATAAAATACAGCATGGCGTCAAATAAATAAATAAATTAAATATAAAATAAATATGAAAATCCGAGAAAGTGGATTGCATAATGATAATATTCTCGACTTAGGAGTTTATTGAAATTCCTACGAATAAAACTAATAACAACACATACCTATGTGCACCGTAAGAAGTGATATTCACATACATATTTGGAGCACCGAACCGTTTGACTGATTTTTAAAATCACTCCAATTATTTCATAAAAATTCGTCAAGTTTTGATAGGTAAGTAGTATGAGTTGTTTTTATTTTGTTTAAAAAGAAATTGCAATTATTCGCTTTCGAGTCGTGTTTAAAAAATACCGGTTAAGGAATAGCATTACACTTTTGATATTTTTTATATATTTAACTCTCAATTTTTCTTTGACTTTGATATTATTATGTTTTTCTTCTCCAGTGGTAAGTGATAATATAAAAAAAAAAAAACGTTTGTTTATTTATTTTAACTTTATTTGTACTCGAATTTTTTACGATTCTAGTTTGCTTTGGTATTCGAGGTATAGGACCATGACAGCAGTGCATCATCGTTATTGTTACAGTCGAATACGGTTTATCTCGTCAAAAATATTCGTCAGCTAAAGCGGTGATTATTATTATATACCTATAAGTCGTTCCGACTAAAACGTTTCCGTCAATATTTATAAGAAATTAGCACTACATTTGCATGGATATATTGGATATATTAATATATTTAATAATCGTTTGTATTTTTCCGTCAATCGTTATACAATATTAATTATTGTTAATTATCTCACAGTTATTTTATGTGTATGTTTATTTCTTTCCTTAATATTATTGGACATTTCTTCTTGCATAAAATGGATTTAAATTTTCGTGTCCGTGAGTGATCATAGTAATAATATTCCTACAACGTTGTATGACGAATGCACAATAACCTCGCTCGTTAGGGTCCACCAGTAATCGTGAGGTTAGATTGGGTTTAGTTAATAGTAATTATAACTTATAAGTTATGTTCCTACAGTGTGATTAACCAAGCATGATCGTCCACTATTTTATCTTTTTCCATAATAATGTATTTATTCAAGTTCTAATTATTAGAATTTTAAGTTCGCTCAAGCGTTTTCAATTATATTTATATTGTGTTAGGTATCTATTTAGGAAAAATCTTGTGATGACACAAATTAGTTTGTTTCAAAAATGTATTAGAAAAATATTGTCTAATATTAAAACTCTTATATTTAAGCCAACCACATAAAATTAGTTCTGCCGGACTAAAATTAGATACAGGTATGTGATGCGTCCTCTCAAGTACTTAAGATCAAAAATCAGAATTTTAATGTACTAATACATTTTTATTAAAGGGAATTATGAGAATAATTATTATTATTTTTATATTTAAGCATATAATAATAATATGAGAACCGAACATAATACTCTTAAACAATGGTAGCCCTACTAGATACAACGCAGCTAACGGAAAACTATCAGCAATCGACCTATCTATAGCAAGCTCAAACATTGCCCCAAATATCCTGGAAGGGATATACGTCATTTCGTCGTGGTAATTTCGTCGCGCGTCAATTCGTCGCGGTCATTTGGTCGCACGACAATTGGACGCATACGACATTTCGTCGCGTGTAATATCGACGCATGCTACATTTGGTCGCGCGTCATTTTATCGCATATAGGTATATTCTAAATAATAATAATAATTTTACATATCAGTCATTTTAGCTTATTGTTATATATATTTGTATTTATAAAATGTAAAATTAAATTCAAGCAAAGTAATAATTATAATAATTTTACATATCAGTCATTTTAGCTTATTGTTATATATATTTGTATTTTTTCACCTCAAAAATATATATGTATTAGTATAAATCTTAAAATCTTATGCTGTCGAAGCTATAATGTTCAATAAAAAAAAAAATAATAATAATAATCTAAATAAAATATTTAAAAAAAGCACAAAAATAAAAATAATTTACTATTTATAAAAATTAAAATTATGAGCAATACCTTTCAAAACCTCGCATATTGGATTATTATTAACATTTTTACATATCTGCATTAATCTAATAGATGAATCATTATATTTTTTTTTTTACATGGTACATGCCCAGCAATTATTTGTTCTATTATCATTTTATTTAAACTTTCTTCTTTTTTTATTGACTCAATAAATTTCCAAATAATTGGTCGTGTATGACTTATCATTGCTGAAAACCCATTATGCCAGCCCTCTATTTTATTGTTAGTCCTGGGTAAACTTTCTTGTAACCTATCATAACAGTTCCAGATTTCAATGGAAAATAATGGAGGTCGACGATTACCTCTCCTATCCAAAATACCAATCCACGTGCCTTCAAAATATGTTATTAGTGGTGATAACATTTGTTCATTTTCAATATAATATGTGCTTTCTAATAATAATTCAAAAGATTCTATCACTTTATCGACGGGTACAAATGCAAGTGCAGCTAATTTTCGTACTTCTAAAGAAAATTTTACATCGTCACTGTATTGTTTTGCAAGACCATGGTGTTGTATTTGTCTCCAAACCGCTTGACTTAAGTGAAAGAAACATCCGTGAATCTTCGTATGGGGAAATTCGTTTTTAATTGCATTCATCACTGCTTTTTCAAAGTCTACCATAAAAGATTTTGGACATAAATCAGGCTTCAATGATTTTAATGCTTGAAATAATTTTATATATGTTATTTCTTTTTTGTCCGGTAATAAAACGTATACTAAAGGTATAATATCACTATGAAATACTGAATGAATGGTATAAAATTGGTAAAATAAATTCGGACAGGATGAAAATGTTCCATCTGAAAACCAATGTTCTGAATCTTTTAATAAATTTAAATTTCTCTCAGTCGAAAATAATAAAATCCTGTCTTCATATATGTCACTATCACCACTGTCGTACAACAAAAAATTGTCTCCATCTAAAGTTAATCTGAATTGATCAGGAATTTCAAAATTTAATGTTTGTGGATTTGCAGGAACGGCTTCAGAAATGTTCCTAACCCGTTGTATTGTTCTTTTTAAACATTTTGGATTCGGCATTTGACCTGCCACTTCGGATGGTAACTAAAATAATATAATAATATAATATTATTATATTATTCATAATATAAATAGACTATAATCAAAATTATTGAAATATTTAGTATCGTCTCGATTGATAACGTGAAAAATACGAAAACAAACAATAAAAGATTAGCGATGAAACTACTTGCACGAAACAATTTAATAAAACTGTTAAACTGTTATATATTTAAAGTATTAAAGTTGTAAGTTTTTTGAAATATTATGTTCGAAAATTTAGTGATTTTAAAATAGTAAAAAAATATTTTTAATTTTAAAATTACTATAAAAAGCCAGTTTATTTTTACATATTTTTAAACAAATATGGTGATTATCTACATAATGATAAAAAAATCGCTGGTATTGCGTCCTCTAAACTATATTAAAACTATAATATTTAATTACCTTTGAAGATGTCTCTGCTAATAAACTTCGGGTAGGCATAATTGTAGTGATGGCATTTTCTTTCATTTTATTGATAGTTTTTTTTACTTCAATTTTTGCTCTATTTTGTACATGCTTATGTTCCTTGTATTTTATGACGCTATCTATTTAATAAATAGGTATATAATAAATAATATATTAGAATACCTACACGCGGCTACACTAAGAAATTAAAAATTTTACCTTGCATTGTATGAGCGCGGCCAGTACAATTTTTAGACTCGTTACATCTCCAAATAACTTTTTCGCCAATAGTTCTTTCACGTTTATGAATAAAACCATCATGAATTAAAAGATCATGCCCTCGTTGACTTTTTATAAATTGTAAAGGCATAATTTTTATATTTTGTAAAATATATAATAATTGTTATATTGCGTGGACCAAGTAAGACGTATATATACGTAGACGTGTATAGGTGGTACTGTATAATACTATAATCGGTAGAGAGTATAGAGACTCGTGATGACTGATGAGTAGGTACACTGTAATAATTCGAATATTCGATAAAGACTCACGTAAAAACCAAATAATGAATTACCTACTGAAATAAAAATAAATGATAAAGAAGGTACTACACCACTACCACTAAATTATAAAGATACTATAGAATTATTATATAAATTATATTATTAAATGTGCCTACCCAAAAAGACAAAGTAATCTATTTTATCTAATACTAGCTATATACCTATATAAATATATGCGATTAAATGACGCGCGACCAAATGTAGCATGCGTCGATATTACACGCGACGAAATGTCGTATGCGTCCAATTGTCGTGCGACCAAATGACCGCGACGAATTGACGCGCGACGAAATTACCACGACGAAATGACGGGATACCGAATGGAAGACCCTCCCAATCTATAATGGAAGCGACCACTGGCCAATACAGTTACAACTTTTTCACCAATCTTCTAAAACAGACCCTATAAATAAATGGAAACTCAAATCACCAAACTGGGAACTATTCTCCTGCCTTGTTGACCAGTACATCACAGAAAACCAATTAGAAGTTCCCATTGAACATATACTACCCATAAACCAAACCCACATTGATGAACTGATCAACAAATTATCAACGCTAATAATAAAGGCAGCTAATATAGCAATTGGAAAATCTAGTCGCCCTCTTAACAAAAGAACAGTACCATGGTGGAACGAAGATTGTAAAAACGCAATCACAAAATATAAAAAAGCTCTCAACCGCTTCAAAAAAACCCACTTACAAACAGACCATATACTAGTTAAAAAATACAAAGCTGAATCCAGATACATTACAAAAAAAAGTAAACTAGAATGCTGGCAGAAATATACATCTACAATCAATATCAGAACCCACCCGTCAGCAGTCTGGAACAAAATTCGTGCACTCAAAGGATGTAAACACCAACCTCTTCCTAACCATATGCACCACAACCAAACTGAACTACATTCAACCTCCGAAATTGCACATGCCTTTGCTGAGACATTCCAATCAAACATAGCAATGCAAATTATGAGGAGAACTTTTTAAATTTCAAAAATGAAACTGAAAATAATATCACAATTAACCCCTATCCTCAACCTGACAACCCATTCAATATAAAAGAACTCCACCTCGCACTTCACAACTGTAACAGCAAAAGTCCTGGACCTGACGATATTCCTTTCATCTTCTTGAAAAACTTATCGGATAATGCTATCAACACTCTCCTCGCAATTTTCAACTTAATTTGGAACAATGGAATTTTCCCCAATCAATGGAGACAAGCACTCGTAATCCCTATACTAAAACCAGACAAAGATAAATTTAATATTCTTAGCTACCGTCCAATTTCGCTTATCAGTACCCTAAGCAAATTACTTGAAAAAATGATAAACAAACGCTTAGTGTGGTTTCTCGAAACGAACAAAAAATTCACAAAACAACAATGCGGCTTCCGCAAAAACCATTCAACCCACGATGTCTTAGCTACACTTCACACTGATATAACTGAATCAATAATTAAAAAACAACACCTTATCCTAATTGCTCTCGATATAGAAAAGGCCTATGACATGGTATGGAAAAAAAAAGTACTATCCTCCCTCCAAAAATGGAATATCACAGGAAATATGCTAGCCTTTATTCACAATTTCCTTCTAGATCGAAAAATCCAGGTAAAACTAGGCAATACACTTTCCGAACATCTAGACATTGAGAACGGACTACCGCAAGGATCATCAATAAGTGTCACATTGTTTCTCGTTGCCATTAATGACATATTTAATAACATAAAGCCTCCCATAAAATGCACACTATTCGCCGATGATTGCAACATATATTGCAGAGGAGCTAATATCAAAACTACTGTAGCACTTCTCCAAACAGCACTAAAAGCCCTATCTGACTGGTCCTCCATCACAGGCTTCAAGTTCTCACCAGCCAAAACTCATTGCAAAATTTTCAATAACAAAAAAAAAAATGAAACAATCCATCATGTATACCTAAACAACACAAAAATTGAATACACTGAAAGCATCCGTATACTCGGGATGATATTTGACAGCAAATTCACATGGGTCCCACACCTCAAAAATCTAAAAAATGAATGCAAGAAGAGAATGAAAGTCATCAAAACGCTGTCCCACCACACATGGGGTTCCGAAAAAAACACTCTCATCACCATATACAAATCACTCATCGTATCCAAAATTGACTATGGTTCTTTAATTTACTACTCAGCCAACCACAACATCTTACGTACAATTGACCCAGTTCACAATGAAGGAGTAAGACTCTCAATAGGAGCTTTCCGTACGAGCCCAGTTTCCAGTATTCTTTGCATCGCAGGCGAACCACCTCTCCAGATCCGAAGAAACAAAGAAATCTTAAAATACGTGGCAAAAAAAAAAAACCTTGAATACCACATGGCATCACAAATATTCACCTCCTCTCCTAGCCTCAGAACTCCATTGAAACATGAAAAAATCATTGACACATACACCAAACTGTGCAATAATTCAAACTGCATCATTAACACAGACACCCTCTTTCCTTTTACGTCAACTCCCTACTGGCAATGGTCCCCTAAAATAAATACCCAACTCCTCCATTTCAAAAAGGATAGCACCTCTCACACAACTATTATAGCAAACTTTAATGACATTTTGCACACCGAATTTCAAGATTTTAATCATATCTATACCGATGCCTCCAAAACCTCTGTCGGAGTAGGATTCGCTTACTCTACAAGCCACTCCTCAAAACGATTTAAGCTCCTCCCTGAAGCCAGCATATTCACAGCGGAAACCCAAGCTATCAAAGAAGCCATAATGTTCGGAAAGTCAACATTATCAAATAAAATCTTAATAATCAGCGACTCCCTAAGTGCCCTTCTAGCAATCGAAGCACCGAACCCCTCTAATGAGATAATCTGTCAAATACATAATATCATCACATCGACCCATAAATCAATCGAATTCATGTGGGTTCCCTCACATACGGGCATTCCTGGAAATGAAAAAGTAGATATACTAGCAAACGAGGCAATCACCTCGTCCTCATCCTCAACCATTACCACCCTCCCATTCCAAGACGTCAAAAGATGTATAAATATACATACTTCCAATATGTGGCAAACATCCTGGGATGAAATACCAATCACCAATAAACTTAAATCAATTAAAAAGAAAATCACTAAATGGTACACTCAGCCCAATGCCTCCAGACGATCCGAAACCATCAATACCAGAACAAGAATCGGCCATACCAATCTCACCCACATTCACATCATAAAACATGAAGAACAACCTCTCTGTAGCCAATGTAACGAACCACTCTCAATCAAACATATAGTCTTAGACTGCCCGCTATATGTCAACGAAAGAAACATCCTTAACCAACCATCAACGATGGAGGAAGCTCTAGGAGAACATAACACGCACTTGATCCATACCTTCTTCAAATCCATCGGCATTGACACAAAAATTTAATGTAAAGATAGATCTATACTGCTATAAATATAATGTAAATATACAACATCACTGTAAAATCCATATATACCACAATTGTAATGTAAAATTAATTTAGAATTTAGTCATTTATTTGTATATTCACTAATTAACGATAATGTAATCACAACCACAGGCTAATGACCTAGATGTTGAAGCCTTTATTATCAATAAAAAAAAAAAAAAAAAAAAAATAATAATATGCTTGGTTGATCACCCCATATATTTATTTGTGTGTGAGTGTGTGATTGTGTAAATATGTACGCAACTGTTGTGATACGAGTCAAGATAAAAAAAAAACCGTTCACTCTGTTGGAGATTTGTTTTATATGCCATGTGCCTTTCTGTTTCTCTTTCAGTCGTTTTAAATTAAATTTCAAGTGTTCTTGAAAATGTATTATTTACTTAACAAAAATAATGTTTTTAACGTAAAACAAAAATTTCAACCTAGTATTGTCCCACGATGCATAAATAAATACGGCGACTTCTATATTTGTAGTAACGACAAAAAAAAGAATAAAAATAAAAACAGTCTGCTTGAGAAAAAAAAAATCATAAAGGATATTTAAAAATAATATTTTGTACAACTTTATTATAATGTAAAATATTCACGAATACCATGTGTAAACAATTCTAGATTGTTCCAAAATAGTTGGACTCAAATGCTTACCACAGTGAAAATATTAAATAAATATCTGTAATTTTAAAATTCCGTTTATTTATTCCATTGTTATGCATTATGACTTATGGAGGGTACATACGGAATCGTTGATTTATTTTTATATACAAACAAATAATAATATTTTTTATATTTATACACCACTATGATATTTTAATAATTTATCTTACACAACATCATTAGATCAGATGTTTTATCACGAAACGACTTGTAAGTTGAAAGTAGGAAGGTACATACATACAATTTTGAATTATACGGATTTATATGGAAATCTTGTACGATAGTTGTTAATAAATTTTAACAAACTTTAAATAACTTTGACCTATTTTTCATTTCTCAGTCATTGCGCAATATAGTGACAAAATGCAGAGACTGAAATGGTCTGAAGAATTTTTACTTCGTAATAAAAAAAAAAAAATGGCAAAAATCGGACTGGTGTATAGTTGTTGGTGTCGAGTGTACCTCGTCATTATATAGGTCATTATTATAATGAAAAATAATATGTTAAATTTCATTTAAACTCTTTAATATAATATCAAATAAATCGTTGTATAGTACAATGAAATACTCGAAACTCTAAGCATACTCTAAAAACGGTTTTCTAAGAATACTGTATTATATATTTATTATTTATATTATATAAATTATATTTTTATTAGTCATTGGTTTTAATATTATTATGGGTTATTGATTGTCGCCAAAATCAAATCACATAATATATTGTAACAATCTTACATATTATACCTAGTAGTTTTAATTCAAATTATATTATTTCACTGGCTGTTATTAACTTATGAATTCCATCCCGACGTACCACGTATACTGGTTTGAATAAGTTCGTGGTATATAATATTATGGATTAAAATTAATCTCACTATTTTGAAAATATTGTATTCTGAAAGTTATAGTTTAAGCATGGTAGTGAAGCCTCCTAAATACCAAATAGATTCAATTTTCTACCAGAAACCACACTCAGTTGTTGAGTATTAATGCTTATTTACTGCATCAAATAGTGCAGTGACAGACACGAAAAAAATGTGCATAAAATATATAGGTGTAGTTATCACGAATACTGAATAATTAATTAAGAATTATTTTTGCATATCGAAGTTTAGAATAGTGGGTAGTACCTATATAATATAATATTATGTACGTCTTAAATCGATTGGAAAACGTTCGGAATTTAATCGAATTCAAGCGTCAACTGGATTAGGATCCGTATGAAATATTATTTGCAGTGAACCATCGAACCGATATAAAATATAAAACGAGTAGACCTTGTTTTCCGTTTTGTTCTAGAAAACCGCTGCACAAAGCTTGAAATATAATAATAATAATAGTATAAGGACGTCTTGAGTGAAATTCATAAGTAGCTATTTAAATTTTAAACACACACATAACTACCTATATATAATATAAATACATATAATATTACACTCGGCAGGATTCTACCTGTTACTTTGTGTACAAGAGCAAAGATCCGAAAAGGGAGAAAAAAAGCCGTTGTTTTCTGTAAGTTGTCGTTCTGTTGACCTGACGACCACCGTACTTGAAAGAAAGAAACCATTAATCAAAAAAAAAAAAAAAAATGAATACACGAAAAGTCAAAGGAATAAGAAGACTACCACTGTAATACCCGGTAAAGCAGTCGACGACATAAGTCGCGTCTCAGACCTAGTGTACTACTCAAAGTCGTTATAAAAGTCTGAAATTATTGTATAAAACTAATTTATTTCCCCACACCATGTTTTTATTACAACTAACAGCGTAATTTGTCTCGACTTAAGGATACTCGTTATTTCGAAAACTACTTAATATGTTTTTGAAAATATTTTTCAGTAACCGTTTACTCGTTAGTCATTTAAAATTCCATTTGTAAACACACAAATACTCGAAAAAAAATATTCTGATTCGGAATATCATGATGATGTTAAAAACACGTTTTTGTCTCGTTCGAAAAAATTACTTACATTATTATGAGAAAAAAAACGTTTATAATTTTAGAAAAAAATAGTATCTTGCTTTAAAATAATCACCCTACCTGTTTGACGCGTTCACGAGAGCAACCGGCGGCATCGGTATACCGTTTCAAAGTTAGTGTCGTACCTGAGCCTCGACCAATGGTGAAAAGGGGATTATATTTTTTTAATAAAACTCTTGATACGGACCACACCCCGCATTAATCGTCTTCGTGATTTTTTTCTTTTTAATACCTACGCTCATCGCATCCGTTTTATTAAATTTTGTTCAATGCTTATTTTACAATTTTATAATCATAAGAATATAAAAAAAAAAAAAACTTAGAACTCACTCCCGTGAGTGGGGTGTCTTCAACATCCTTCTTCTCTCCCCCCTCCTGAATACCCAACCACTCAAAGGCTGTTATTACTATCGTGTATAAGTATCGCCTTTGACTGTATACGAATGCACGCACTTAGTGCGTTCATTCTGCAGCAGAGGTACCCAAACTTTACGGTTTTCCGGAGACAATAGCCCTTTTTGAAATTCAATTAGATCAAAACACTCCAAGCCGGTTCTTTTGTTTAGCAGCTTTATATTAATAATATTGCAGCTATATGTAGCCGATGTAGTGGCCGGATATAATCGACTTTATTGTGATTTATCCGTAGATCCGACTACTGCTCGTATTATTATTTATTATTGCGATGGAGGTCGCTGCAGCGGGTGGATCTGCAGGGCGATACAGACAGTTCTTTTTAGCCGAAAACTTGACCGGGATAGATTTCCTCGATTCACTTTTTATGAGAATTTATTTTTTCGGGGGAGCCGTTTCGTCGGTACAGTCTTAGGCCCCGAGTTCAGCCAACTAATAATTTGCATATAAAGTGCTTTCAAAACGACTTTTGTTCGTTTTGAAATTACTATATACAGTGGCGGCCAATCTAATGCTTACGTTATTTTTGGTATTCTCTGGGTTCCGAGGGCAACGTGAAAACTTCTTGTCCGGAGAATATATCGAAATATTGTTAAGCTCACCGACCGTAATAATCACGGAATAACAAGAGACGAAATTACTTACGTTTTAAATAAAACAAAAGAACGGGCGGTGAGAACTTTCATCATTTCATTTTTCCCATCACTCGAATAATTTCAATTGCATATATTATTATAAAAATAGACGATATCCGTGGAAGCAATATTGTAGATAGGTGCTATAGACAAAAGCTTTTACACGTTTGAGAGTATTATTATATTATCGTAATCTATATATATAAAAATGGAGACAAAAAATTCGAAATTGCATCAGTTGAGAACGGCTAATCCGATTTTGCTCAAATTTTTTTTAAGATGTTCGTAATTGCTAGGTGAAGGTTTTTACGAAAGAAAATTTTTAAAAAGTCAACCGAATAATTAGAAAAACTGCAAAAACTATTTATTGATGTCTGGGATTTGAACTCGATACCGTTGTCTTTATTTACTCTATGGTTTATTATATTTTATTGGTTGCTATTGGTTAATCGGGCATGTTTGTTGATTTGTATTATTATTTTTTGTAAATATATCTTATATATAAATGAATGACCTATGGGAAGAAGATACGCTAATTTAAAAGGGTTAAATTTGGTTTTTTTTATTCATCGGATTTTAGTACGGTTATGTTAGGTTAGGATTTATAGGTAGGTGGAATTAAGTAAAAACGTCAAACTTGGTATAACTTTGGTACTTTAGAGTTAAATCATACACTTACGTACACACAGCACGGGGTCCGCGATCTACCGCAGTAAATTACCTATCTGATAATGTACTGCTGCAATTCAGAGTTTTTATTCCGGGCAACAGAAAAGTTAAGATAAATCTAGCATACACTGAATATTAAATAACGCATTGAACAATGTTGAGTCATATAGAGTTGGTACATTTAACGGGAAACGAAGTGCACGGATCCGCTAGTAGTATACTATAAGTACTTAATAATATAACAAATTATCGAGCGCAACTATAATGTATAGTGCAATATTATAAGAGACGCCTACGCGGCCGTTTGTTGTCTCCGTCACATAGAACATTTTTGATCAGCCGATCACGTAAGTTATTAGTTATTAGTTTAAAAATTAGAGTGAATCGGCCTATTCTGAAACTTAATGTTAAGAATATTATACTATCTGTGTTTGGATTTGGTTTTTTTACGATAGTTTATTCTTTTTTTAGTACCTAAGTTATGCGTCTATAATTAACATAAATTAAAAACAATTAATTGAAAAAATCACTTAAAAACTGAGTTATTGTCAAAAACCCACATACAAATGCAGGTAATGTTCTTACCATCGAGTTTCAATATGTT